ATATTATCGGGATAAAGCCCCATTCTTTTGCAAATTCATTGACATATTCACTGGGGCAAGTTTTCAAATCGGCAGTATTATAATTTAATCCATGCAGATATAGACCACTATATTCAAAAGTATATGGCAACACGTGCTCCTCAAAAGAATCATCACAAAGCTATTAAATGGCATCGATGAAAGTTGTTAGAAAACAGACTAAATGAATTAATATAAACGTTTTAAAGATAGCATACTTCAGCTACTGCGGTTAATTTATTTGTGTATAAAAATTTTGCTAGATCTTGCTTGCTTTTTCCCACTTGATTCAAATGTTTCTCAAGCCACTCTTCGCCCTTCTGAGCATGTGCAATTACTACATTCTGAAGTTCACCCATTGAATGTTTACTGGTAACCAATATATTGCCATTGGGAAGTCCACCAATAAAAATGATACAACCATTTTCTTTTGCAGTAATTTCGTAAGGACTTTCTGTGTTTGCGATAATAGACTCCCACTAGATATAAGTTTATATATAAATAAGAATGTGTAACATAAAGAAATCGGTCAATAATGATAATGAATATTTACTTTTGTTTTTTCTACTTCTCCAATATTGAAAAATTTATCATATCCACGGATAACAATTTCATATCGATGTTCATCCGTCTGTCTCGTGAACAGACCCCTAGCAGGAGTAGGAACTTCTCTTTTTTTGTAATCCCAATCATTCATTTTCCATGATGAAATAGTTATCTCTGAAGGCTTATGAGTATAATCAGATCTTCTAATCGATCCTGCTTTTCGTGTTTTTCCTTTTTCTCTACATTTTTCATATAATTTTTGAATAAGTTCATGAGCTGTTTGTAGATCTCGTTCTGTTACAGTGTATATTTGTTCAAGCTTTATTTTCTTTGCTTTCGAAAACTCGGTCATTTTTAATGTCGATCGATTGAGTTTTTCGTGTTTAGATCAGATCCACGTATGTACGTAGTAGATATATAATTTTTTTGTACAATCACATGATTTATGTTTTTCCACATTCAACCTGCTTGTACGTATCGGTTTATTTATTATCGTTATAGTAAAGTCGATTTTTAATTAATAACGATAGAGTCGAATGAACATCCTTGCACTGCGGAAATACCAAGAAATCCGCAGCTAAAGAAGTCTGCATTTGCGCAGTTCTGCTTGTTCGAATTAATAACAATAGTGACAATGGTAAAATAATTATAGTTGGTATTTATAAATTTATACTATTTATCGTTGGTTTTACCACAAAATCCCGACACCCAAAATCTCGAAAACCATAATCCCGACGCGACAATTAGTATTTAACGATTAGTAATCACATTAACAATCATTGTTAGACTTTAAATTTTTAATTGGCACATCGGGTGATGCCAGTATTATTGCCTGTTGGGATTTTGGATGTCGGGATTTTGTGGTAAAACCTTTATCGTTAATGCAGATTCTGCGTATTAAAAAATTTTTTTAAAGTACTGTATATACCATTTATACATTGCATTCTAACGACATAAGTTATCAGTTATTAGTGTTAGAGTAGAATTCTGGTGACTATTCGGTAATGGTAGAATTGGTCACAATTATCTGGAAAATAATTCTGTAATTGATTCTGCACAATTATATATCTTTAGAAATTAGTCCTGATTTAGATTACTAACGCTAATGCTAACGCTAATGGAACTCGTACGTACCATATTATGCCTAGATCCTTGACTAGATTCTTGAACCCGTTATCACATGATATCAAGATTTTTTGATTTTGAAATTTTTTTTACACCCCTGGCTTGAATATCTGTAACGACCTAAGTTCTAATCCATTATGAGCGATAAATTAACGAGAATCGCAATTGTCAGCTCGGATAAATGCAAACCCAAGAAATGCAGACAGGAGTGTAAAAAATCATGCCCTGTTGTAAGAATGGGTGGGTATTTTAGCGTGACTACCTTGTTCAATTTCAATTTTGATCTTTATGATTGTTTTTATATATTACTCATTTTAGGCAAGCTTTGTATTGAGGTTACTCCTGATAGCAAGATCGCCTTCATATCTGAAGAATTATGTATCGGTTGCGGCATATGCATTAAAAAATGCCCGTTCGGTGCAATTATGATCATTAACCTTCCCACGAACCTTGAAAAAGAAGTCACTCATCGATATTCAGCAAATTCTTTTAAACTTCACCGTTTGCCAGTTCCTAGACCAGGTCAAGTTCTTGGTTTGGTTGGTACTAACGGTATTGGTAAAAGTTCTGCACTAAAAATTCTAGCTGGAAAGCTAAAACCGAATTTAGGAAGATTTGAAGTAATTATGAACCTTTTCAGATAAGAAGTCTATACATTGGTCTTACTACAATGATGTAAATTAAATCAATTTAATCGATCTTAAAGGATCCTCCAGATTGGCAAGACATTTTGAAATATTTTCGTGGCTCAGAGTTGCAAAATTATTTTACTAAAATTTTAGAAGACAATTTAAAGGTATAAATCATAATTCATTTTTTGAATTGGATCATTTTCTCATTATCATTTTAAACTCATCAAATTACATATATATTTTTGTTAATTCAGGCCATTATCAAACCACAATACGTCGATCATATTCCGAAAGCTGTCAAGGGAACGGTTACAGCTTTAATTGATGCCAAATTAGAACGAAATAACAAGGAAAAAATGATTAATGATTTAGATCTACGTGATGTTTTGGATCGTCAAGTGAATGATTTATCTGGTGGAGAACTTCAACGATTTGCTATTGCAGTGGTGTGCATTCAAAATGCTGACATGTTAGTTTATCACTATTTATATGAAATCTTTATATTTGTGGCATATTTTAGGTTAACAGAGAATATTATAATTTCTGGCAATAGATATATGTTTGACGAGCCATCTTCTTATCTAGATGTTAAGCAACGTTTAAACGCTGCTAGGACGATAAGATCTTTATTAGAGCCTGATCGGTTGGTAATATTATTCTTACGAGTTTTCAGAGTTTTATATATTTAATAATTAGCATTATTATTCATTAGTTACGTCATAGTTGTCGAGCACGACTTATCAGTTCTAGATTATCTATCTGATTTCATTTGTGTACTTTATGGAATGCCATCAGTGTATGGTGTTGTGACGATGCCTTTCTCTGTTCGTGAAGGTATTAATATTTTCCTGGACGGAAAAGTTCCAACAGAAAATTTGAGATTTCGTGAAGAATCTCTTACATTCAGACTAGCTGAAACTGCCGAAGATGAAAAGGAAGTGGAAAAACACAGGAGGTATAAATATCCAGATATGATCAAAACCCTAGGTAATGAGAATTTTTGTAAAATTTGGATTTCATAAATTATTTAGTTATTTAACCTTTCAAAATTTTTTTTCGATTAAAGGAAATTTCGAGATAACTATTAAAGCTGGAGAATTTACGGATTCTGAAATTATTGTGATGCTTGGAGAAAATGGAACTGGAAAAACCACATTCATTAAATTGCTAGCCGGTGGTATGAAAGCTGATGGTGAAGAACAAGTGCCGGAATTAAATGTTAGTTATAAGCCACAAAAGATATCACCGAAATTTCCAGGCACAGTTCGCATGCTCTTTTTGAAGAAAATTAAATCAATGTTCATGCATCCACAATTTCAAACGGATGTTGTAAAACCCATGCAAATTGATAATATCATTGATCAAGAAGTTGCAAATTTGTCTGGGGGAGAACTTCAACGAGTAGCTATTGTGCTGGCATTAGGTCATCCCGCAGATATTTACTTGATCGATGAGCCATCCGCTTATTTGGATTCTGAACAACGTATTGTCGCTGCAAAAGTTATTAAAAGGTTCGAGTCATAATTCATGCGCATTTTCAAATATATATATAATTATTAGAATGTCTAATGGTTATCTTAATTATTTTTATTATAGATTTATACTTCATAATAAAAAGACTGCTTTTGTAGTAGAGCATGATTTTATCATGGCGACATACTTGGCAGATCGTGTTGTTGTTTATGAAGGGAGACCATCTATAAAAGCTATGGCTAATTCGTAAGTATTGGTAAAATGTTAAACATCATACAGAATTGTGTATTTAATTTTATATTTGTTATCAATTTATAGGCCACAATCTTTGTTATCGGGCATGAATAAATTCCTTTCATCACTTCACATCACGTTTAGACGTGATCCCTCAAACTTTAGACCTAGAATAAACAAAGCTGATTCTCTTAAAGATAAAGAGCAAAAATCAAGTGAGCAAAGATTTATATATTGTTTATTTATTTATTTGAATATTAATTTGTTTTGTTTAATTCATAGGTGGCAATTACTTCTTTTTGGAAACAGAAGCTTAAAAAAAATAGACTTTTTAAGGTGATTATTTGTTTGTAGATTGAAATAGAATTGTGCTTACCGTATTCCATAGTAAATAAGCACCATCCCCTCTACCCCATTTTTTTAAATGTCAGATTAGCGGAAATTCTAATAAGATCTTTAGCTAAGTTATTCCCACTAATCTGACATTTTAAAAAAATCGGGGTAAAGTTGACGGTGCTTATTTACGTTAGAATACAATAGTTTACCAAATTTCAAAATAAAAATAATTCAAGTTACTATTGTATTATGTATAATAATATTAATCAAAACTTCAATGATTTAGTATTAAATGTCTCAAAAAAAAATATATTTTTTTTTATAAATTAGTGTGTTAAACACTAAGAAAATTACAGATTTTTACTATCAAGACCATCTTTTCGTAGAAAGTGATTTTTTTGTTTTGTCCATTCCATTCTCTTCGGAGATGTTTCGCTCATATCAAGCTCTCTATATCATTAAACATTTTCGGATTGGTACAAAATTTGATTCGATATTCTAAAATCATTTTTTTCGTTACGAGACGATTTAAATAAGATCGAATGCCCATACATAGATACAGAATGATTAACAATATCATATGGTGATGGCAAATGACAATGTAATAAAAATTTTATGAAAATAAATGGCATTTTATTAACAGGTGGAACCGTCGATGTTACACAAAATTGTTACACAATTGAAAGAAGGTTTTTTTATATTGTTTTACAATACTTTTTTAGGAAGCCGGTGTGGCTTACCTATTTTATGAAACGTGATTAATTCATTAAGCAAACTTGAAGTTTTCGTGCTGTATTATAACATATTTTTT